TGGAATGGCATATGATGTTTTTAACACCCTATACAACAACTTAGTTCAACCAACCCTCACTTACGGTGCAGCAATATGGGGAAGTGGGGAGTTTCCTTGTGTTAACGCAGTGCAAAATAAAGCTTGTCGTTTCTTTCTCGCCGTTGGCCGGAAAACGCCAAATCCAGCCGTCCGGGGTGAAATGGGTTGGACTTCACCATACACCAAACATAAAATCGAAACTGTCTCTTAGGCCAAATCTGGCCAGACACATTTATATGTGTGTGACACTCTAATAAAATATCTTCTTCTTCCTCATCAACAATCCACAGTCCTCCTGTGCAGTGATCGTCCGGAAGATCTTTCTTTTGACCGTATAAGACAACTGACGAGTGCACGCCTGACCTGTGACCTCCCCCCCCCCCCCCCCCCCCCCACACACACACACACACACACACACACCCATGAGGTGTTTGCCGGGATTGCCTAAAAGTCGGGCCAAGAAAAATTGGGCCGGGCCGGACCAGCGGGTAATACTAAAAATGGATTGCAGAATAATAAAACGAAACGTACATATCTCGGCAGATCTCAAATGTCCACAAACGCATTGTTTGTCTCATTTAATTGAGTTTGAATCAAAATGCATCTTCAACAATGTAATAAATTGATAATTATGACTACATACCGTGAGTCCTCGTAGAAAAGTCAGTGTCTTGACTGTGTGTTTTCTTTCATGAGAAGGTTTCTCACCGACCTTACCGCGGAGGGGTGTGATGTCAACCTTCGCCAACCCTCGTATCACAACGCGCACACGTCGCATTCATCTTTCCCCTTTATCCGAACAACCATCTCATTATGTCTACGTCAGCCATCATGGATACATGCGCATACTTACATACATAATCCATCCTCCAACTATTCTCCAACATCCATCGAACTATTACTATATCCGCCTTCATGTATCGGTATTCGTGCTTACATACATACACCCTCCTACCATTCCCCTACATCCATCGCACTATAACTGTAACCGCCTTCATGCATCCGCACTCATGTTCACATTGCATTGCATGCATCGAATTACACGTTTAAAATATCGTAAATATTTTACAATATGTACATATTAAATATCAGCAAACAGAGAGTATTATAACGCAATAGATTTCATCCGTCAAAACATAACAGAAAGAAGGGCAGCCTGGAATTTTACAATGGCATCAGAATGCACTAAGACGTTCAGCTGGTCAGGAGGTGAGAGTTGTGGAAAATTGCGATAAACTTCAGTTACAGATCTCCATTACGAATATCTAAATAGTGAATAAAGATCACAGCTTGCTATAAAGTATACTTCATCCCTGCAGATATAGCAATTTCCTTAGCTATAAAATTTATGTCTAAATGCTCATGTAGACAAAGACCCAAATGTTTATAGACACGACCATATTATATTCTACGCAAATATCTCCACATTTAAAAACAAAGCTAGATTGAGTCTTTGAAGGGCATTAAGACGTGATGCACATAAGGGAAAACATTATGGATGTCAACGTCTTTATTGTGAGGAACACAGTCAACGTTTCAGAGTATATACTGACCCCTTCATCAAGCGAATAAATGCTTTGAGGCAGAGAACATATACATGTACCTGTAAGAACAACAAAAGTAAAAAGATAGCAAAGGAGGAAACGTAACAAAGGAAGCCAACATATAATTGGCGCTAATTACCCCGGTCTCCCGTTTGCCCATTGTCCATTAATTTACCAATTATTCATAAGTAAGGTTTTGGCCTTAATTTGTCCACTGATAATCAACCATCAACGTCTGTTATCTCAACCTTAAAAAGTACGAGAATCTGTACTTTACTGAGAAAAGTGTTATCCAAATATAACAATTGTTACATTTGTGTTCGAAGCTTTCGGCCATAGGAGCCGTGCCATTTTTCACTTGTCAGAGGGGTACGTGATCTTGACTAACAGTTGTCTGACTTTTTGGTGGAAGCATCGGTGGCTGGGTTAGATCGCTGACTCTGTGTGCTAGTGATTGGATGCCTCACTCATAGTGTAGGTTCAAATCCCGGACGGGCATCTGTACTTTACTAAGAAAGTGTTAACCCAATTATAACATTTGTTGTATATTCGGCTTTGTATGGGTAACAACATCACAGACATTTACGGATATTGATAACGACTTGAAGGAGCTTCGTAACGCAAGTCTTCTCAATTCAGGGATTGGTAACTCAAAATGTGTGTGTGTGTGTGTGTGTGTGTGTGTGTGTGTGTGTGTGTGTTGGCGAATGATGAAAACAAACACGGCCACCAGTCATCTGAAATAACATCCATTCGTGCACTTGTGCTTCCTACTCAAGTTACCAAACACACCCTGTTTACACACGTGCAAGATATATATTACGCTGAGGAGAATTTACGATTATACGTTGATACGTCTAACTGCTGGCCTGGTATGCAATGCCATGATTCTTATCGCCAGGGATCTCCTCCCTCAAGAAGACGTCTGATTAAACTCTTTGCTTCGTCAATGCTTCGTCTAGCCCAAACTGGTAACTGGTACCACTAGCAACGATACAACGGCGTACAAAGACTTACAGTGAGTCAAGCATTCGTCACTCGATTTCCATTTTCTTGCATTTAGAAAGAACGATTAATTGTTTGATTGATAGATTGTTTGAGTTAATTTATTGGTTGATTGATTGAGTTGTTTTATTAAAGTGTTTGATTGAGTTGTTTTATTTAATTGTTTGATTGAGTAAATAAAAAAAATACTGTTGTTTGATTGATTGATTTACAATCCAGTGATTGACATCATGAGCATCGATCCACGCAATTGGGATCGATGACATGCATCAACCAAGTCAGCGAGCCTGACCACCCGATCCCGTAAGTTGCCTCTTACGACAAGCATAGTCGCCTTTTACGGCAAGTGTGGGTTGCTGATCCCATGAAGACCTATTCTACCCCTCGAACGATGTCGTACCGGTAGCATACGCCATTCAAATTGCCAAACAACATGATGAGTTGTGCTCTCCCATGAGTTTTGATGCCACCCATTACACTTCCACTCCCAAACGGACGACGTTGAGGAACGCAAGCGTAGCTAAGACATTCCCATAGACGCATGTGGACTCTTACACGACCACCAGTGCTGTCCAGATGAAAACCTGGACTCATCTGTGAACAGTATGCTGTCTCAGCGTTGTCTTCTGAACCTCAGATGCTGTCTACACCAAGCTAGCCGTGCCTGACGATGACGTGGAAGGAAAACTGTGCATATCGCTAAACGTCGGGCCGGATGTTGTGCTTCCTCAACTGGCTGCCTACGTTTCAGCCACAAATTGGTCTCAACCCAGGAATTGCCCGAGCTGTTGTTGTGACAGTTTGGTATCGATTCCGAGCATGCACCAACCCAATATGGTTGTCTTGTTGACGTGAAGGCACACGTTGACGATCGGCCCGCAGCAAATCATGAGAGTTGCCCTGCCTTGGATAACGTCTCCCAAGAGATGATAATGTGTGAACATTAAAATGTCGGGCAACTTCGTTTTGCGCCGTTCCTTTTTTGTAGCAGAACCCCCAGTCAATGTCAATAATATATTTACAATGTCGAGCAGTTTCAAATAATACTTGTAGATGCATACACTAGGCCATTTGTTATTTGCAGTGACTCACCATTTCGCGGACACCTCGTATCATCACTAATTGATAGTGATTCGGAAAGACATGCTTATAATATGATCGAAATCATACAATGGACACTGCTTTTAGCAGATAGTTCTTGTATTATGGAAAGGATTATATCGGTTATATTTATTCATATATAAAATTTATTATGAATTAGATATTGACGTTTACATGCTGACAAGCCTAGAAACATTATCAGGGATCTGAGATTCAAACCCAGTATCATGACCTCTAAGTGACGCAACTCTTCACAGCAAAATGCTCGCTTTCGAACACTTGACCACCCATGTGGCTTCAACAGTATGAAGGATTTCGAGACATTTTTGTCATGACCAACTACTTTTTATGCTATCTTTATGACGTCAGAAGTGGGGCGGTCGGGTAGCCTAGTGGTTAAAGCGTTAGCTCGTCACGCCGAAGACCCGGGTTCGATTCCCGACATGGGTACAATATGTGAAGCCCATTTCTGGTGTCCCCCGCCGTGAAAATGCTGGAATATTGCTAAAAGCGGCGTAAAACCATACTCACTCACTCACTCACTATGACGTCAGCTTAATTAGTACTTTTTGAGGGTATGACGTATAAATAAGATTTAATGTTGCAAAGAAGTGCGTGAGTTAGACCTTGTTGTAATACCACTTTGAACAGTACTTCAGTTAAGTCACGGCATGCCAGCTTCACGCGAAAAGGAAGCTGGTCGTAGACGTGGAACAAGCGAACGTCGTGGATCGTTACAACTTCTGTGAAACCATCGTTCCGTGATCTAGCCAGAAGAAAGTATTTAATAGCGGGATCCTCTGATCGTGGGTTAGAATCGCAGATTCGCGTCCACTAGGCATATCCGAATCCTATGAACGTGGGTTCGAATCCCAGTTTCGCGTCCACTTGACATGCCCGAATCCTTTGAACGTGGGTTCGAATTCCAGATTCGCGTCCACTCGATATCCAATGAATGTTGGTTCGAATCTCAGATTTGCGTCCACTAGGCATGCCCGAATCCCATGAACGTTGGTCCGAATCATAGATTTACGTCCACTCGACATGCCTTATTCCTATATATGTGGGTTCAAATCCCATATTCGCGATCAATCATCCCCGTATCCTATGTATGTCGGTTCGAATGCCAGATTCACGTCCACTTGACATGCCAGAATCCTCTGAACGTGAGTTCGAATCCCTGATTCGGCCCGAAAATGATTCTTGCTTTATCGCACTTGTGGGTTTTCACGAAAGCTTTTGGACCTTCTTCCGATTTTAAGTGCACACTGATGTACTATTGAAAGCGGCTTTAAGAGTAATATGAAAAGAACACACCACACATATGCATTTGGTCTTGAACCGTACCTTTTATTTCAGTGGAACAACCGACTTACATCAGTAACTCTACACGTCATCAAGGTATTGCACAAGGGAGGAGATCAAGTAAGACAGCAGTTTCTTTCATATTAATCAGGACGGAATTAGGGCAGAAACACCATTTCACCAATTCCAAGGGTTGCTATGGTTACACGAAGCAAGTCAGTGACACAGGTAAATGTTTCACGTCATATTATGCATCCACTAGCATTATTTGGATCTGGTTTGGTGGTCATTAGCACGGTCTTTGAAGTAGACAAACATATACCATGCAATGGATATTTTCAGAGATAGTTCGTCAACGTAGATGGTAAATTACCATTACCGTATGTAAACCATTCGACGATCAATATTGCATGAAGAACAGACTCGACAATGCTGAGACGATGAGCGTGGCCACGAAGAAGGTCACCTGACTGCCAGCTCCCTCTGAAAGAGACGTAGAAAAGGCGTGGTTTAAGTATCCCTCAAATGATATGCATTTAATCACAGTCTGTTTCGTCTGAGGGGCTAGAGGATTATGGAACTATTTATTGTATTTCTTGGTATTGTGACAACATAAGTCCTAGGCTTTTGCCCTGTATATGAACTGAAACTATACCTCTCAGGTCACTGATTATATTATATGTTTGATTTTCAGTGGAAAATATCTTAGGTTAGCGACAGTAGATCCCCAAATGAACTGTACTGGCGCTTAGTCAGGTCTCAACGAGTACTTTCACATGGGTTTATTTTTTAAAATATAATTTGATTTAAAACTAGTTTTCTTAATATACACAACTGCTGGTGGGATATTAGACATCTTATCTTTGAAAGTCAATAAAAAACAAAGATTTGCACCATTTCAATTGTTATAAATGTGGTTGAAAATTCATTTCTTACCCAAGTCTTCATTGAACCAATTTATTTTACCAAACATTACCCAGCCACAGATTACTTTTTACAAACTGGTGGTGGGATCAGTGATGGTTAAACGGACATTATCAAATTTATCAACAGTTCTTTTAATTTTCAATTACATGAAAAACAAACAAGCGTGAGTGGCGGTGCTACCGGTAGAGAAGGACGTGCTTAACTTTGTCCCGATCAAATGGCGTCATCACTGATTTTCAGTGATCCCTTCACACGCTTTTCACCTCTATTTTGGAATCTCTTTCGTTATTCTATAGCATTGGTGGTTTATATTGAGTTTGGATTGTGTGTAACACGTTGCAAATGACTTACGACAAGTGGCTCCAGTGAGGCCCGAGGGGCAGGTACACGTGTAGGGGAATGTGGATATGTCGCACGATCCTCCGTTCTTACACTCACTTCCTCGGGCAGTGCACGGGGGAGCTGGAAAGTAGTGATCACTGATTGAATTTGCAGATACATCATGGTGACAATCGTCAACGCCTACAAATTCTTCGTAATTCTTTCTTTCTTATAGATATGTTGATGTTTCGTAGGCAGCTTGTATTATTTGGTTTACACATTTTTTTTCTGAAAAGTATGTCTTAAAAGTTATACAACATAAGATACTTTTAAAACTGACTTTAGCATGTCAGGGGCAAAGGTAGTCGGGCGGTTCAAAAAGAAACTTGAGTGTCTTTTGTTCTGATTGAAAAATAAAGCTGATTGCATTTGTTCTGTTCAAATATAAACTTGAATGTATATTGTTCTGTTCAATATACACTTGAGTCTTTTGTATGTTCAAATATAAACTTAAGTGTTTTTTGTTCTGTTCGAATACAATGCTGAATGTTTTTGATCTGTTGCAATATAGGCTTGAGTTTCTTTTGTTTTGTTGTAATATAAACTTCAGTTTTTTTATTCTGAGGGGCACAAGTAGTCGGGTGGTTCAAGAAAAACCTTGAGCGTCTTTTGTTCTGTTCCAAAATAAAGCTGATTGCAATTATTCTGTTGAAATATTGAGTTGAATGTATGTATGATATTCACGGATAGAACCGAAGGTACCTTCATTTACATTTAGGTGCATTCGTCATGTTCAATGTACAGTCCCAGTCTTTTCTGTCTGTCTCACTTTTTATAATATTCTGCACAAGTTCCACCTTACCTGTAGCACACGTGGTTCCGCCATAGCCAGAATAACACTGACAGCTGTAGGTGCTCGTGCAAGTGTTACAGCCTCCCTTGGTCCCGCACTGGTTTCCTGCAGCTGTGCAGACTGGTGCTGAAGTGAAAGTAGAACAATCTCATTTTGAGACCAAAAAATGTTTGATGTAATATTTAAACGTCTACAAAATAAGCTATTATACTGTTGGAATATGTTTGGAGAAAACAACCTAAATCTAAAACATTTTGCCACTTTTGAAGTACTTGTAATATATTCTTATCAATTTTAAACGTTTGCATTTTTAAAATTTAAAGTAAATTTTAAGATAATGTTTTTATTTATCATGTTGTACTTTCTTTGAAGCATCTGAGCACATAGAATTGAAGGACCATGAACTAATGAGCTATTCCTGACCAGAATCAATACGGGAACAGATTTGCTTTGCTTGTGACACTTAGTTTAAGTCCTTTTCGTATTGGCCTACATCAATAACTAATTGGTTTAATAACACTTTCGACTTTCAGGGCATGGGTCATATAAGGGCGGGTCAGCTTTATGTGGTAGGAAAAGTGACACTAGACGTGCTCGGTATACATTCTTGGACAGTGCAATTGCATTTTATAAATATACACTTCATACAATATGAACAGTGCAATTGCATTTTTATATATACACTTCATGGATATAAAAAACAGCTAATGGCAAAGGAAAATGTCTGCACTACTCTATGTCTACAAAATTAAAACAGAGCTGACATAGATTTCAACATGTATATTCTTTCAATACGCCGAATATATGCTGGTATTTTTATCAAGTTATTTGCTTGATAAAGGTACCCGAATTTGAACCGAAACGAGGCACTGAAAGAATAAGGAGCTTACAATTCATAAAGCCACACTGTCTTTGTAACCACACTGGCTTCCGGCAGTAGTGCAAATCGGGGTTGAAAATTAAGGAGAAAAGCTGTAGATAGTGCTATGTATTGCCGGTGAATCTATTGTATCGAATGTGACATTATCTCTAATGATCATATTGCTTTTTTAAATTTTGCTGGGTGAACTGACATACTGATATCGACATACGTTCCCATTGAGATTGGATGTATCACAAAAATACCTATGGCACACGTTGGCCCTGAGTATCCGTTGGAGCAGGTACAGACGTATGGAGTGGCGGATGTTGTGCAGGCTCCATTAGTTCCACACTGGCTTCCGGCAGCAGTGCAGATGGGGGCTGAAAGAAAGAATTAGGTGATATCAAGGCTCATAGATGGTTCATGGCGTAGAATAGGTGATGCGATATATGTGTGTATTCACCAACGACCATTAGAGGACTTGTTATAGATGTAAAAAGGATGATATAATCAGTTCTAAAACTGACACTCGTATTCACGTCGTCACTCAAACGTCACCCTTTTAGGCATCAATAACTATAACATTCAAATACACACACGGGATCCCCTCCAGTATTGATCCCATTGATACGTATTGTCTCCTTACCTGTGGTACACAATGCCCCTGTGTATCCGTTCGAGCAGGTACAGACGTATGGAGTGGCGGATGTTGTGCAGGCGCCATTAGTACCACACTCGCTTCCGGCAGCAGTACAGATCGGAGCTGTGAAGGCAATTGAACAGCTTCAGATAAAAAATCGCTCGAGACAACAGCATGTGATGTTAAAAGGATGGCATCGTGGCAGCGACCTCCTATTGATGTCGCCAGTCAAACATCACCTTTTCTGGCATTAATTAATGTCGACTTCAGTTCCCGATGACTCTTGTATACATGATGAAAGAGGAATGTGTGATCGCCATACAGTGAGTGTACAGTGTACACGTGGCGTGGCGCTTGAATGGATATTTTCCTTCAGAAAAGGTTCCACGTTCACTACAATGCATAACAGTGACCTATCCACAGTCAGCCATTTGATGCCAATTCGAGTGAACGAATTGTCTCCTTACCTGTGGTACACAATGACCCAGTGTATCCGTCAGTGCAGGTACAAACGTATGGAGAGGCGGATGTTGTACAGCTGCCATGGGTACCGCACTGGCTTCCGGCAGCAGTGCAGATGGGGGCTGTAAGTATAATCAGAATAGCTGTAGATAACGATATGCATTGTTGGTGAATTCATCGTTACATAGCAATTGGGACAGAATCTCTTATATTCATATTGTCTTTCAAACTTTGCTGTGTGAATTGACAATTGAGTAGATCTCATTAAGAGTGGATGTATCGCAACAATACCTATGGTACACGTTGACCCTGAGTATCCGTTGGAGCAGGTACAGACGTATGGAGTGGCGGATGTTGTGCAGGCGCCATTAGTACCACACTCGCTTCCGGCAGCAGTGCAGATCGGGGCTGTAAAGGCAATTGGAGAAGCTTTAGATCAAACTTCATAGAGAAAACAGCATGTTATGTTCAAAAGGTGACATCGTGGCAGCAACCTCCTATTAATGTCGCCATTCAAATAACACCTTTTCAGGCATTAAAAGAAAATCCACCACACTTTACTTAACCCGACTCGGATGACTGTACATGCAGAAGACAGTATCCCGGTATCACCGCCAGCACGGGTAAATCAAGCCGCGACACCCTTTTCAGAAAAGGTTCAAAGTTCACTGCACTGAATGATTGCCACAGTCAGTCTTTTGATGCCAATTCGAGTGAAAGAGTTGTCTCCTTACCTGTGGTACACAATGACCCAGTGTATCCGTCAGTGCAGGTACAAACGTATGGAGAGGCGGATGTTGTACAGCTGCCATGGGTACCGCACTGGCTTCCGGCAGCAGTGCAGATGGGGGCTGTAAATATACACAAAATATGTATTCACCAACGACTATAAGAGGAGTTGTTATCGATGTTAAAAATGTGATATATGTTCTTGTCTGCAACATTAGACATACGTTTCCGTGTCATCATTGAAACGTCGCTTGTGGCGAGATCCATAACATATCATTGCACCCCTGAAATGCACGCTGTCAATTGATTTCAAGAGAGCGGACGTATAGTCTCCTTACCTATGGTACACGTTGACCCTGAGTATCCGTTCGAGCAGGTACAGACGTATGGAGTGGCGGATGTTGTGCAGGCGCCATTAGTACCACACTGGCTTCCGGCAGCAGTGCAGATCGGGGCTGTAAAAATACACAATATATGTGTTCGTCAACGACTATTAGAGGATTTGTTATCGATGTAAGAAGGATATGATAATCAGTTTTGATCATACACTCCTATTCACGTCGTCATTCAAACGTCACTCTTTGAGGAATCAATAACTATTACATTCCAATTCACACATGGGATCCCAATTAGTATCGATCCCATTGAGACGAATTGTCTCCTTACCTACGGTACACGTTGACCCTGAGTATCCGTTTGAGCAGGTACAGACGTATGGAGTGGCGGATGTTGTGCAGGCGCCATTAGTACCACACTGGCTTCCGGCAGCGGTACAGATCGGAGCTGTAAATTTGAAAGAGAGATATATAGTTTTTGATACAAAGTTAACATCGCTATCGCTACAAAAGTTAGTGACAAAATCTCCGTGTAAAGCTCTATGTTTTTAAGTGTATGAAATGAGTGACAGTGAGAGATGTATTTATGTACTATACATGTGACGATGGAGCTGTTTTCATTCAAACTTCGACATCAATTGCATATAAGTCGTATTATCTTGTACTCTCAATCAATAGCAAGTGATACGACTTTTGACTGTTCTCTAAAAATATGCATAGATAATAATTATTAGAAACATGCGGCTTTTACCTAAGAATAAGTGGTTTCGTTAAGGTGTTGACACCTCACCTGTGGTACACAATGCCCCTGTGTATCCGTTGGAGCAGGTACAGACGTATGGAGTGGCGGATGTTGTGCAGGCGCCATTAGTCCCACATTGATTTCCGGTAGCAGTGCAGATGGGGGCTGTAAGAAAGCAGTTGGTGACATCAAGGCTCATAGATGGTTCATGACGTAAACTAGGTTATACAATCTGGCAACGTCATGCTGCAAAAACCCGTTAGACCGTTAGGTATGTCAGAGCCGTTAGTTGTAAGATAGAATCTAAGATTCGTCCAAGTTGATCCTTTTCCTGAAATACTGCTTTAAATGACGTCAATCCCATCCACTCAAGGTTGAACAAAATGCCTGTTTTCTCACCTACGGTACACGTTGGGCCAGAGTATCCGTTCGAGCAGGTACATACATAGGGACTTGACGATGTTGTACAAGCACCGTTGGCACCACACTCACTTCCAGCTGCAGTGCAAATGGGTGCTGTAACAGAAGCAAACAGCATTAAAGTTTTATTTAATGGATCAACAAGATTGATATCTTCAGAATCAATGATGTTCCCATCTTCTGTATTCAAAGAATGTTCAAAGAAGACCTGAATGAAGTGGACATTCTGAGATTGAACGGAAATTCAATTAAAAGCGGCGTTAAACCAAACTCACTAAATCATATCCAGATTACACTAATAACTTGTTTGTCGCTTGTGATGGTTAAGTCTATAATTTCCGATAACCCATCTGATGAAACCTTCAACAGCGTTACTTGATTGTTATTTACATAAAGTCGGTTGGCTATGATTGCAAACAAATGTAGACCTCCTCGTGCTCCAGTGGATAGAGAATCTGTCCAGAGAGCAAGGCTGCGTGGTTCGATCCCCTGGCCGCGTCATACCAAAATATGTTAAAAGACGGTACTTGTTGTTACCCTGCCTGACGTTCGGCATGGGTATCTATGTTACACTGTAGCATAGTACTTCAGTGGAATATGACTTTAAAATCGGCATTTGTCCGGAGTAGCACTAAAACACACACGCACGCACGCACGCACACACACGCGCGCGCGTGCATGTACGTCATTATATAACCTTGGAAGTCGACGTTTGACCACATTTCAAATATGTTTGAAAGTGAGACCTTGAAGTCACTCATCATTTAAAACTATGCCGGCAGAATGGTCTGATATGTTCATCCTGCTTGTTTCGAACTAGCGCAAGCTCGAGATAAGTTCGTGGACTCAAGATTTCGAGGTCACGAGGTTTCATTGTATTTCCCTTATTTCTAAGATTTGATAACGTTGCTTGTGTGTTTTGCACCGATGTTAATGAACACTCACGGATAGTGCAGTCGTGACCACCGTAGCCATCTGTGCACGAACACGGAGCTGAACACGGACTGGGGCATGTGCCGTGTCCGTTACAGCTGCTGGCGTCGACACAGTCAGTAATAGCACCTTCGCCTAGGGCTATGTATAACATAATACCTGGAAACGAAAATGCATTCAATTACTATGACACATCATTCTGTTTGACAATACACACAAATTTGAGATGACATGTCCGCCAAGGGTCCCATTGCTACACACTGCAACGGAAAGAAGAAAATGTGATTCATGTAAATACGGTGGCCCATAAGGGACATGGAGTCTGTTTTTCAATATTTTGATGTTTAACTTACTTTTATCTTAACCTTTTGCAAATTGACACAATCTGCCATACAAATACGTGATAAATCATGTATAAAAACATCCGAAAACATAGAAAATGTACTTTTAAGTGGCTTTTTTTTTTCACCGTGGTGGAAACTATTTCCACCGCGGTGATAATATTCCCACCGCGGTGATAATATTTACACCGAGGTGAAAACTATTTACACCACGGTGGAAATAGTTTTCTGAATTTTCATTTTAGTTTTTGACATTTTCGTTTTGTGTTTTTGACATTTTCATTTTAGTTTTTGACATTTTCGTTCCGTTTTTCAGCGATTCAATATCTTCTTTACACATGATTTATCACATATTTGTAAGACAAATCGTGTTAATTTGCAAAAGGTTACGATAAATGTAAGTGAAATATCAAAATATGGAAAAACAGACTTCATGTCCCTTATGGGCCACCGTATGTAAAGTTCAATGAAAATACATTTATTCTGAAATTAAAAAAATAAAACTTTCAATACATATGCATGAAGACATTTTCTGAACTTATAGGTCTTGATTTGCAATTTGCACGAGCATGCTACTGCACGGCGTACAATTTGGATGTTTACGTGTTTGATACTCAAACACGTTTTTTTAATGTGAACACCTCACAATGACTGTTTAGCTACCAGGTGCTTGCAAAAAACATCTTTCTTTAACCTTAAATAACGCGTATGTAATGCCAAGGCTTACTCAAAATCAAAATAAGCGCGCCGTGGTTCTGTTGCAAACAGGAATTGTGCAAAAGGAAGTTGCTCGACATTTATATATTCATCGAAACACAATAGCATATATTTGGGGACGACATCTCCAGCAGGGCAACACTCTGTCGTCAACGTGTGGCGTCACGACAACAAAACAACCATATTCGGTTGGAGCATCTATGGAATCGATACCGAACTGCCACATCGAGCACACCATCAGGCCCCGACGTCCATTGATACGCCCAATGTTGCTTCCACCTCACCGTCAGGCACTGCTAGCTAGGTGTAGACAACATCTGAGGTTCAGAAGACAACACTGGGACAGTATACTGTTCACAGGTGAGTCTAGGTTTCATCTGGACAGCTCTGGTGGTCGTGCACGGGTCTAAAGACGTCAAGGTGAACGTTTTAGCTACGCTTGCGTTTCTCAACGTCGTCGGTTGGAGAGTAGTAATGTTTGGGGCGACATCACAACTCATGGGAGAACACAACTCATCATTGTTATTGGCAATTTGAATAGCTCACGCTACCGGGACGACATCATTTAAGAACACGTTCTACCCTTTGTACAAATGCAGGGACGTAGCGTCAAGTTGCAGCAAAGTAATGCTCGGTCACGTGTTGCACGTTTTGCAACATATTTTTTGAGGCAGCATTGCTGTACTGTCATGGCCGGCTCTTCCATAGAACATGTCTGGGATGAAGAACGACGCCTTCGACATGACTTGAACCAGCCGGTAACGTTAGCTTAGTCGGGCTAATCTGGTTGACATTTGGAAAAAAAACACCCCACAGGCTGTTAACAATCATCTGGTGTTCTCAATGTGCCACCTCTGCCTCGCCAGTATCAACGCAAATAGCCACATACTGACATTGTTCATTGAGTTGTTACACCACCCATCTTTCAGGGCGTGTCACTCTGTCAATGGGTTTGTTATGATAAAACATGGAACAGACGAATTACCAAATATTATGTTGCTCTTTTGAATAACAAAACATTTACATCACTTTATGTGGAGCACAGTTACTTTTTTTCCCGGTGATCAATTACGAAGGTAGTTGTTTGGTAAGTAATGTAATGAACATTCACTTATGACATGTGAGAGCTTGGCATCGCATTACGGTGTTAGGACAGTAAGGTGTTCAGATCAATTAAAAATATTTACAATACTAAGAGCGATCAGTTAAACATTCCATAGTCAATACATTGAATTAAGCTAAAGCCAATAAATAACAGCGACAACACTATGAGCATAATAAATCTCTGCTAAAAGCATGGGATATAGCTAGTGTCAATGATTAATTGATGAACATCTAAAGAGTATTTGTGTAAGTTACAAATCTGTTCGAAAACACATCAGATAACAAAGTGAGACAACTCAAACGTTGTAGGCGAAATGCTTTGAAACAAATACGGTTTTGAAAACTTGCAAAACATGCAGTGACCGTTCCAGTAGAATAGTGTCATTGTTTGTTCTGAAAAACGTGTACACTGAAGAAACAGGCTCATGAAGTTCACAGCTTATGTCGAAGAGTGGGCCTTGGTGTAACGTCATTTCAGCCTCGAGACAATACATTGTAATGGCTGAAGTAGAGCCGTGGTCAACAGATAACCTAGAGACAATTGTCTTCCATATTTTTGTATCTATATTGTTTTAATTTTACTGTGAAAAACGTGAATGTAATAAAACAACTGTTTCATGGATTCTTGGCCTCATCTCTCCTTGGCGTTAACAATTGACCAGTATTGTCCATCACTGGTGAGAAGAGACGCTTATCATACATTATCTTTTGCTACAAAAATTACTCGTTCCTGACCCGAACGTGACATTTAATGCATATATGTTGAATGCCAAGCGTATGGGGGTTCAAGCAGATACATGTACCCTTAGTTTGTTCAGGCAAAGAAGCGATTCCCATGCCATGTAAAGACGGAAAAAGGGATTTTAAGCTGGAGCCTTACCAAATGCTTGGCGTATTAATATGCAATGAAGGAATCTCTATCACAAAAGTAAGGGATAATTAATTAAATAAGCTGTGCACAAATCATCGGTGGGTGTAAATGTGGTCAAGATGGAAAAGCATTAGTTCAGAGAACAGAACTTAGTTCATCCAATGACAAAAATTACCATGACTGACATATTATCGAATGTGATAGTCAAGCACAGGAATCTTGGTCGAACACACAAACCGAGCACTGACACATGAATATCACAACACAGAGCTCCAAGATCCTTGTATTTGTTCTTTGTGTAGACATATCTATATAAGATAATCTTACCTGTAACAGCGAGCATTGGATGAAAACGAGCCATGTTGAGATCTTCCGTTCTGATCCAAATTAACCCGCAAATATACCACACCTACAACAACGTCTTCTCTTATATGTCAACTGTTACCATAGCTGCCTGTAGTGTTGTAGCAACTTACTCCATGGTCAGTACAGCTGATGCTGCACCATACGCCCTGTATCCTTGGCGACATGAACTAAACATGGCTACACCGCTGACGACACCGACCCTTTTGTCACTTGGATGTGCCCGGACCAATGAACTCGAAGTGGGTGTTTTACAACAACGCTGTTAAGTTACCAGTGAAAGGGCGGGGAAACCTTTTATGGTGTATAGCATGATGGTTGTATTCTAAATATCGGAGCAATCTTATGTTAATTAAAGACCTTCGATCCGCCCAAGAGAATATTTACTTCAACCATGTCCAAGTACAATGTTCTGCAAGCAAATACATGGTAATTCATAACAGATTGGACCAGACGAAGGAATAGAAGACGACATATTTCAACATATAAACAAGTTTCAAGCAACATAACCTCGTAGTCTCTATAGCAGTTAACCTCTCTAAAGTCGAAACAGAATTCAGTTTTCTAACTCTCTTGTTGTCTGAGATTGTTTCAACACTCGTACACTCATACAACGAACGCGTGTTATAAAATATGAATCACATTATGACAATTATATTTCTAGATTCTTAAAAGTGCAATAGCTGTTTGCTGATGGGTTATCTAAAGGATGTCTGACTTTAAACAATCATAATTTAAATATGAATACTCAAAATGGGTTTCCAAAATGATGAAACACATTAATCTGTAAATGTAATATATTTCTCGTGTCATTCAAAATAGATTTGTAGATCTCAATGATTCCACCAGAATTCTGTTGTATAATCCAATATGGATATATGCAATAAGAGGCTCATTCAGTTTTATGAATATAGTTATTTGACTGGCAGAGACTTGCCAACCACAATGTACAATTTAAAGTTGTGTCATAAATATTATCATTATTATTGAAAAAAAGAGAAGAACTTTACACGTGTATTGTAATGAGTTAAAAATTGGGTTAAACGCCGATTTGAACAGTTATTCAGCTATATCACGACAAGAATTTGGAAAGAAAGCCTGAAGGAATGCAGGCCATAGCCACTTTAGTGAAAACCACAAGCATGGTTATGGTGCCGATAAAATACGGAACACGATACAGGGACCTGGAATTAACATCTTCCATCAACTAGTTCTGGTACTGTAAAGGGACAACTGGGACCCCATGACCATCGTCTTAGTCACAAAATGCATCATATAAATAATAAATTTTCACCCTTTAAGGATCATTGCGTTTACATTGATTGAAAGAGTTTTGTATAGAGTTAATGTATTGCTTTTCACTTGCAAGTTTACACTTCGCTGTGTTTCGGGGGTCTCGACCATCTCAGTGCCTTATTTTGGCTTATCAATACAGTAAATCACCGATACTCCGTAAACCTGGTATTCCGTGGGATTCTTGGGAACGTCAGTATGCATATGTATAGGGCAGCATTAACAAGAACCCGATTAATGCAGGCGATTCAGGCGACTTTTAACGGTCTGGATTGGCGGTGTTGTACTGCAGATATTTCCCGATATTGAGTCATTTATTATTGACATTGCTTCAGGTAATTAATAAACAACCGTAACAGCCTCGGTAGCCCGTGATGGCAAGTGCAAAACAATAAACTTGTTGGAATAATCACGAACATATATTAGTCTCCGTTAAGTGTGTTATCGATTTAAAGCATACAGTGTATGTGCGATGAACATGAAGATGAAAGTGCTCCACCCGTCACCAGGACTATTCGAGTGCTTGGCCCGTGAGAAGCGCTTAAACCATACCGATCTTGCATACTCGATGATGACAGGCCTCACTGTCCCAGTTCTTTAATAATAATTCCTTAACGCCCGGTTTACGGTTTACAAAAACAACTTATAGGTCAAGATAACATACTAGTATGCAATTGTTGTATGTAACCATTGATAATAAACGTATTTTTAAGCTTGTGAATTCAGTGCTGAATACAGACAGCTAAGTACAATATGTAAAGGCTATTTCTGGGGTCCACTACCTTAATATTACTTGAATATTGCTTCCATCGACGTGGAGCCATACTCACTACACAGGTAGTCTTGGGACGGGTAGTTAACGTGATTGAGCATTATACTATATATTATGTGGACATATCACAAGGGGAATACGGTTCCATGTACCCTCTCTGTCTCCATGCTTCTGATTTTACAATTGGAAAACAAAAGAAGATAGTTTTGGGAAGCGTAACGTCCTATTGTTAGGTAAACTAAAGACGACACGCAAACATACATAAATCTTAATATGTTTTTATCAAATATAATCATATAAACACACAATCCTATTTTAGCTGAGTTAGGATATGATAATTATTATAAAACTGGGTTTGGTCACTTTGTTTTGCAATTCCGATGGACAATTAAACTGAATGAATGTTAAATAACGCCGTCTCCGGTCTGTAAATAATTGATTCTGGAACAGGCACAAAGCAGCCGCGCTGTGAGGGCACGATGATACAATAAACCAAGTGGCATATTGCCATTCCAACCTTCAAGAGACCTATCCTTGACCCGTAATTCCACGGAGGTAGACAATTAATTAGGGCTAGGACTCAATAACATATTGCTCGTTTTAAATATTAATCTCTGCCAATTTCTAAAGGAAGATCTATGTCCGGGAACTCATTTGCGTGTCGGTACATATTCGATACATCACGCATAGGGTGAGTAGTTTTGTGAGTGGCTTGCACAATATTTCGGTTACATCTAAGCTTTTCAACTTAATGTGAGAAGACAGCAAATTATGCAAATTTTAGGCATTTTTCAACTTTGGTGAAAGTCACGATATCGGATATGATGCCGACAAACAATAAACAGCAACAGGACGGATCCGAGATTCGAACCACGATTCGATTAACCTGGCACACCAAAGGGACGCAACTGTCCCTATTTTAATGAAAATCACAGCTTCAAATATTTATTCGTTCAACGGTGTCATGAGTGGTAACGTCGTGTAAGAGGTTGCAAATAGCTGTGCAGAGTTTAATCATTTAGTCGTGCCAGTGACCTATGATTGTAGATTTGACTGTGTTTCTAGGTTTGACAGAACAATGCTCGCTGGTTTCACAAAAGTGATAAACGTTTAAGACATGTTACTCTTTGGGTTTACCTCCAACATCAAGCTGACGCACCATCATGTAACTGAAATACTGTTCAAAACAGCGTTGTACCCAACTCACTCACACATTCTCATATTGACGCCAAGGAGTTTTGTGAAATTGATTCGGGCCTTCCCAATCGCAAGTGTATCTCGTGTTTTAAGACCATGGTCCCAGTTGAAGATCAATATCGGGGAAAACACTGCCTCTCAAGTACCTGCAATTCCTTGATACACAGATTAACAGTATTTTTTTTGTTTAGTCTCATTTGACAGAGATACGAATATGATTTCCCCAAGGCATTGACGTTCAATATAAAATTCATCTGATCTAGATGTTGTCCCTATATGTGACCTACGCAGATCGCTTGCTTTTTTCCAAATAAGTAAGCTTCAATGTTGTATACTTGCCAAATATCAATGACACCTGTATCAGATTTCAGTTTCCTGGAGTTGTCTTCTTAACCGGTTATCTCCCCTGTATAATGTTGTCTCTAATTCGCTAAAATGATATGAAAATGACTGAAAACGTTTCACTTTATATCGAAGTTGCTCCACAACGTTAAGGAAGATCCACTTCAGCACCTTCAGCCCCTTTATACGGTTATCTCCCCTGTATAAGGTTACACGGGAACACAATGGCTGTACCTTTCAAAGAAATAACAATTGTAAAAAGACTGACAAGATTTCTTTTTATTTCCAGGTCAATTCAAAGACTTGAGATAGTGAATAAGAAACAAACTAATAACTAAGACTTCTTCCACTTTCGAATGCCATACATTTAAAAAATAATCCTTAATTATTTTCATAAAAAGCCATCTAACTCGAGCAATTGAGTTAACGAGAATGCATATGAATTTCTATTTATTTACTTAATTAATAATTATACAACATATATTTTACTGTTGCTTTTAATTATTGCAGTTCATTTAAATACCTCAAACACGTTCAGCACCAGCTTGTCTTATTTCACAAACAAATAAAAAGTGGAAGACGTATGTCTTTATAAACGCCCACTGACAGTGTTTATTATCGGTCATACTGCTCTAACTCTCGCTTCCCTCTGAAAAGGCACGGGTGGCACAGTCGTCTAAGGCGTTGAGTAGAGTTGAATACCTTACGCGTGACAGAAATCTATGATCGTGGGTTCGAATCCTGGATAACTTTGATAATGTTCCCAGGTTTGTCATCTGTAACTTGATCGTCAGTTTCACCAAAGTGATCACGTCAAGCACCTACATCACTTTTCACCCACATGAAGCTGACACGCCATGATATAAGTTGAGTTTCTGGTAGTTCTCATCACTCATGGACGTCCATTTCTGTATAAAAACAGTTAAACCATTTCATAAATGATGTTTTTAAAGAAATAGAATCCTACTATACTACTGTATACATATGCATTGATGGCAATTACTTTGTTCATTTCAAGTTTGCTTAATGCCTTAGTCGAATGGGCCATCCCTGCCCAATAACCGTTAGAAATACATATAGGGTAGGTGAATGATTTATAACATATTCAAAATAGCATGTCATAACGCCGTACCTCATTGAAACTGTTTAGATAATTCCACAGAGGTAGGCGGGTGAGTCTTTGTTGTATTGCTGTTGTCGTCACATGTAGATCATCACAGGTAGATCAGCTATTCATCTACGACACCTGCATGATGTCCATCGGTATTACCATCCACTGAAATAATACATAACACAGTAATTGAGGTTTATATATTTGATATATGCACACATTTACGCCCCGCAATATCTCGAAGAAATGTGGTTACGATTACGTATAATAAATAGATACCTCATTAGTATACTCCTTGTGACAGTAGAAGTTTTGAAGCTGATAGAAGTGCCTACTTCCATCCATGGTACGACCCCGAATATGTAGAGGGTGTTATGGAAAATGATAAATACAAACTTCTTTGGACTAGGCTCGTATACAGCCTCAGACCTATCCAGGCCAACAAACCTGATCTTATCCTTTTTTTATAAATCCAATGAAATCATTTATATCATTGAACTTTCTGTCCCTTTTGAAACTAAATATGCGGACCTTGCTTTCGAAATGTCACGCTTGCATCCCAAGTACCAAGTTGTCAGACTCCCCATTGTTCTCGGTGCCTTCGGTTCGGTACCTCCCAAGGACCAAGTTGTCCGACTCCCCATTGTTCTCGGTGCCTTCGGTTCGGTACCTCCCAATCCGTTGACTGACATTTGGAGAGTATCCGGATTTGTTGCCAGGAATACATCCTTTCTGTTTGGACTGCATGTAGAGGGAGCAAGGGCCCTGAGCTGATGACGAGCCTAACCAGCAGCTGACTGTGCCAGGATCATCCAAACCCTCTTTGCTGCATTTTTTATTTTAATCTGTAAATAACAATGACAATAACAATAACAACAATAATAATAAAAACACAAACATTCCATATTCATGAGAAATCTCCATTGTCCATTGTATGATTCCGACTATGAGCATGTGTTTACAAAACACTATCAAATACCATCCTTCCCCAACCGATGACACCCGTCACAAACATTGCATAGGACATAATTTTTGTCACCCTTTTACGACCCTCCCGAAAGGAGTTTCGAGATTTAATGACAAAATATGATTAAATGCCTTTTTTGATACTGAGACGAGTCTTGTAACATAGCCTTCACCTTAGTAACTAAACTAATAGCACGTTTTGCAAATGAAGACAAGGCTCATTTAAACTTCAACACGGAGCATTTGTGAACAGGGATAGGGTTTTGTCAGTTATATAAAAATAATGTATGCAACTGACATGAGTAACAAGGAAGGAAATCGGGGCACGATGACACATAGAAAGCGTGTCACAGGTCGGGTGTATGTACTCAAATCAACACCGATGTACATTCACAATGTCTCGCCTACGAAATGCACAAGGAAGTGAAACTGTTTTTCTCACAGAGTAACTCATGCAGGTACAATTTATATTTTCAACCAGGGACCTGGTGGTATTTAAGCATGTCGTGGGTAATAAACTTGTAGTTTTATAAAAGTGATTGGGCTACTACACTGGGCAACAAGGGGGTTATTTGAGCCGATTAGCTCGGTTATAACTTCCGAACAGGATGGACACGTGTTAAAAATAAACGATATAACTTCCCTTTGAAACAAATAGTTCACAGTAACCAATAGCTTTAGAAGAGTTTCCTTTCCTTCTAATTAAGGACACATCATATATACGGACATTGTACACGTAAAAAGACCATATTTTTCTTACCGTTACTCTCAGTGTGTTGGCGAGCAAGCTACCAGCACGATGGTTGGTTGGTTCGTTTGTTGTTTAACGCCGCACTCAGCAATATTCCAGCTATATGACGGCGGTCTGTAAAAAATCGAGTCTGGACCAGACAATCCAATGATTGACAGCATGAACATCTATCCACGCAATTGGGATCGATGACATGCATCAACTAAGTCAGAGAGCCTGACCACCCGATCCCGTTAGTCGCCTTTTACGGCAAGTATGGGTTGCTGAAGACCTATTCTACTCCGGAATCTTCACGGGTCCTACCAGCACGAACTTGTTTATATACATTTCATCACTGTTACGTACATATTTGAAATAATAGGATTATATATAATATTATATAAATCCTGGTTCATAAGTACATATTATGAAAACAATACCTTTATAAGAAATACGCACCAGAACTGAAACCATTAGGTGCAGACACACAGACAGATAGTCGACTCGGCGATCCAACCAATCAGCGTTGTTCAGCTGCTGACGTATTTTGTGAGGATTACATAATAAGAGTTTGCTCCCTTTGGTTGCGTTTGCGTTCTGAACAGTATATAGCAAATCTGCTTCGCCCTATTTATTAGCATGTGCACTCAGCGACAAAAGAAACGCAAATAACAGTTAACATAGTAAACATCTCTTTGTAACCAACATACCTCTTTAGATGTTTCTAGGGTGGTGTAGCCTAGTGGTTAAAGCGTTCGCTCGTCACGCCGAAGACCCCGGTTCGATTCTCCACATGGGTACAATGTGTGAAGCCCATTTCTGGTATCAATAGAATCAATAATTTCTTATTGTCACATAGCACTCAATCACAACGTGTGGACCATGTGATGGATGCTTAAAACAGGAAATAAATATGTGTACGTTTCAATTTAAGCTTGTCTATGTAACAGATGCAAGATGGCGTTTGAACACCAACGTATTCATTACAACAATTGCGACATTTCAGTATGTGAATGTGGACTATACCATTTGTCAAGCAAATATACAAGTATCATGAACTAGGTAGAGCAATAGTTTGTCTGGAATACGCACTGGTGTCAATTACTATCATAAGTGTGTAGCCAACTCTGCTACAACTGCTTATTAATATATACATGTATGAACAGATGTTTTGGTCAGTTCATCATCTTCTAGATAAAGTTGTAAAACTATGTACAGAAACGTCCTACAGTTGCCCAGACGCACTATCGTGTCACTTATTTAAGTGAAAGAAAGCAGCTTTTATCTTATTTTACTTTCAAATCTTCACAGGAACGTCGTAACAATTGCAATGAAGAAGTTGACCGCTCACACCACAAATATCTTGTTACCAGTTAAGATGAGTGAGTTGCCACTTTAAGCAGTATTCCAGTTATATCACGGCGTGTCAGCTTAATGTGGGAGGAAAGCCCGAAGTGATGCAGGTCTCAGACATTTACCTCTTTGATGTAAACCACGAGCACGAGTATGGTACTGACAAACCGAGAAACATGATCGGGACGAACAGGGATTCGAACCCACCATGATTCTAACTGGTGAGTGTACACGCTGAATACCAGTATATAGAGGAGGAGCAAAATAAAACTATACTCAGCTGAATTTTATCATGTGTTTGATTTTCAGTTCTTAGCGATATTATACCAAAAGAGTTACCTGACCTGGCGTTTAGTCAGCACTCAAAGAATAATTTTACATGGTTTTATTTAAAAAAATATAATTTGATTTAAAACTTATAAAAATCAACAATATATATATCGCAATATACATAACTGCTGATGAATATCTTAGACAACTTATCTTTGAAAATCATTAAATTTGCTTTTTCCTGCACACATGTACAACATTCACACATGGTAGGGGTCATGTGGGTGCAAATTCATTTCTTACCTCACTCTTCATTGAACAAATCTATTTTACACACTATTACAAAGCCACATAATACTTTTCTACAAACTGTTGCGGGAATGAATGATGGCTAAATAGACGTAATCAAAACTAACAACAGTTCTTTTAGTTTTAAATTAAACAAAAGACCCCCAAAACGATTTTGCCTCTCAGTTTATTATCGATCACGCATATGAACATTACAGTTTATGAATATTATTACTATTATCTAGTTTCAAATCACATTGTCAATAATAAACAGTTTTAATTTGTGAACAGCTGAGTTTGCTCTATGTATAAGAATAAGTTTTAATGGAATCGAGTTTTAGGATAAAATGCAGTTTAGAAAAGTGTACGTTTGTTACAAGTTTAAACTACTTAAATGATATTGTAGTCCGATATATAACGAGGGACACTGAATGATAAGGTTCAGATATAAAACGAACAAACCCATGCTTAAAGTTTGAATCAGGTCATTCAAGCAACCCATAATATATCTATTGACTCGTGTTTTATCATCAATAAATGCCGTGCCTAACAGGCAATCTCTCTTGCGCGAAATTAATTTTTTACAATTTCTAGAAGTTAAACTGACACCAGGCCGTTTGAGGTCCTAACTCTTTGTCTGATGGAGCTCTCCTAGATGTTTTCACCTGTTTGGTTAAGACGGTTATATATATAGTTACATCCCTGCTGTGGCAATCTAAAGAACTCCAGCTGAGCTCAATAACCATAATATTATGTTGCCAGGATCAGTGAATGAAAAAGTGCCCAGAATGGCTTAGTCGTGTGTATCCTACTGGCACATATTCACTCAGGTATACCGTGTCTCATATATTAACATACAATGTGGGACGACCCTATAACTATGTTCGTAGGTTCTTAGTCCTACTTATTAAGAATATTATAGACTCTTGAACGATATTATTATTCGGTATGATCATACGTTGACACAGTCAACGTATCAACAGCGGCTTTCATTAAAGTTAAAGGACTTACTTATCCTGATTCTAAGTTCCCAGGAGCAACCAAGGCTTGTCAAAAGAGGTGACAATACTGATCGGATAACTTGATTAATTGCATATCAGGGCCGTTGCTATCAATATTAATCACTGTATCTTGTCCAGACTTGATTATTTTACAGACCACCTGGATTATGCTGGAATACGACCTCAACTTCAACGGCCTTTGCTGGCCAAGCAGTGACAAAATCATCAGTAAGCGACCGTACGTGTATGTGGAAATAAACGATCAAGAAGAAAACGTCACTTTTAGCATATGGTTACATTTAAAAGTCAGTGAGTGAGTTGGGTTGATCACCGCTTTTAACAGCATTCCAGTTATATCGCGGCGTGTCAGCTTAATATGGGAGGAAAGCCCGAAGTGATGCATGTCTCAGACGTTTACCACTTCGTGGAAACCCACGACAAACCTAGAAACATTATTGGGGCGAACTGGGATTCGAACCCACAATCATAGGTTAGATTGACGACTGGGCCACCCGTTCCCCCTAAAAGTGATGAGATGTTTTTATATTTATTTTTTTATTGCTTAAAATGTATGGCATTTCCATTGACGTTGTTAGTAAATAAATGTGAACAGATGTACTTCGTGAATGTGACCTTCTACATGTCTAATTAGTTCTTAAATGGTATAGCACTCCCATTGACGTTGTCAGTAAATAGTAAATTATATGTAAACATTCGTACTTCGTGAGTGTGACTTCTACATGTACAGCATGTCTACATCAAGGTCTCAGATCCCCCATTAACGAGGTGACATATGCAACTGCAGACGTCAGTGCGTTTTGTATGTACATATACATGGATGATGAAAACCTCTCCATCATATGTGTGTTCAGTGCTTAAACAAAGGTCCGAACATATCATGTATTGTACTGACTTCGATATAAGGTGGTGCGTCATGATCATAAAGTGTTTGATAAAATGGATCATACATAATTATTAATTAGTTTTAATGAATTTAATAAATACCATACTATTATTACTACAAAATCTTGATAAAATAAATGTATTCCGTCAAAATGAACAGTCACGGTCTTTCTGCCAGATGAGAATCTCCAAATTATATGCTCCAGTCAAACAGGGGGATTTTGCAAGAATATATTTCATTTATCTCAGGATTTAGTCATATTTATCAAGAATAATATAAAATATCAGCATGTTTTGCTATTGTCGATAAAATGTCAAGTAAATAAATACTACTACTATCGAAGAAGCTATATGTAGTGCGCTGACGTGGTTATAATCAGAGGAATGGTGGAATTGCGTGATCCTGGGGGCCATTAAGTTAATGTACGTCCTCGTCACCTCATCGCTGGTGGGTCAATCAATAAGGAAAGGCTTCTACAACACAAACAATGCCTTTTGTAATGAAAATCGATTATGCGACAGTTTTCGAATAATAGATAAACGAATGCATGCACACACGGGATTTAGGTTGTGTACCAGCAAAGACAAGAACAGTTATGCTCAGCTATTTAATTCTAAACGTCAACGGTCTTGAATATGCGCAGAAACAGATTCCGTTCAAGGAGCGTAAATGGAAAAGTAGTCAGAAAAAAATGAATGGACCACTGAAAATAATTTATTATGGTTATTATTATGCAGTTATAAGAACGTAGAACAAAATAATATTCATCATGACCTCATGACAAGGAAATATTTGTTTTTTTCAAGGAATATTGTAACAAAATGGAGATTTCAATCCATTTCCTCGTAACTGCTTCTTTTGCAGGAAAACAATTTCTATCGTGCCTCGATTGGATGGTGCCCGTATGGTTTAGAGCGTTGTTTATGATTTTGTAGATCAGTGATATGATTTCAATCACCGGTTAGTCTGCTCCTGATCTGAGTAATACAGGCTTCAGCTGCAGGTATATACACGTAGCTGAGATGCTGAGAGGTTGCTGACAGCGGAGTTAAATAATATTGACCCTGACCCACTCAATCTTCGCCACTTTGGTGTTGCTATGCATCGATCACTCACAATGTTTGTTTTGTCCTGATCGATATTCTACTTTGAAGATCATGACAACCCGACCGTAAAACTGTAAGTATAAAGACTGTGCACACAGGATACCTGTGCTGCATTCAATATGACATGGATTGCGAATTACACGAGGACTCCTCACGAGCAAGAACTTATGGATAAAGGAATATTCTTTGATTTTTTAAAATTTTATTTTTAGAAACTTACAACACACTAACCTCAATACCTCAACTTACTCTTCTTATCAGTGGGGTTCATCTACCACAATATAATAATACAATAACGATTGAATAATGAAATGAGACGGTACAGCTATATTATCGAATAATGTGTTTATCGCATCGCATCGAAAGTGCCCTTTCGGCATTCCAGGTGAGAATAGGTCCACATCACACTATGTTGGTAGTAAGAGGCGACTAAATGGATCGGCGTTCATGCTCTGTGTGTGTGAGAGAGAGAGAGAGAGAAAGAGAGAGAGGGTGAGAGAGAGAGAGGAGACAAGGAGGTGGAAAGAGAGAGAGGGAGATAGAGGTAGAGATGGAGAGTGAAGGGGATTGAGAGAGATACAGACAAGGAGGTGGAAAGAGAGAGAGGAGATTGAGGGAGAGAGGGAAACAGAGGGGGGGGGGGGGGGGGAGAGAAA